ATATTACAGCTGAGAAAACAAGATCAGAGAGGTAAAGTAAATTGCTCGTGAGTACACAGCTCATTAAAAATAGGTTAGAATTTGAAACCAGGTTCATCTGACTCTAACCCCCTAGCTCTTCCCACTACTTCAGAAGAGATGAATGGGCAGCTAATCCCGTCCTAATGTTATCGGGGGCATAGAACTTACTTAGAAGAAAGAAAAGTGTGAGGCAGGGCACATGGCCCAATGGAGCAGAAACGGTGTGCCACTACCCTGTCTGCCCAACAGCCCTCTCTGAGGGGAGGGCCCCAGAAAACAGGCTTATTTTGCAATCCTGTCTTCCACCCCCATTCCAACATGACTTTCGGGTGTGAATGGAAACTATAATGACTGGCTGTCACAAGCTTATGACCTCACAGTGACCAGCTGGAAAAAAACAAACACCATCCAAGGTTCCCTTGAATCAAGAAGAGTTACTTTAGTTCATATTACAATTTCTCCATGTGAGGCAAAACAGCTGTCATACAGAATAAACAGAGTAGTGTAGAATAATGAAGAGGAATTGAGAATATGTGTTAATACAATTTTAAGTCTCATCATTTCATTTCAGGAACCCTGAAATTAATTAACCACAGATCTTAGTAGGTCAAACCACTCTTGGAGGGGGACCAAGAGATGAATCAGACCTACTTCCCCACCTAGTAGGTGGAACAGCTCCAAAATCAACTATAACTCTCTGGGATCAGAGCTATGATCACAGATCGTACAAAATACTATGAAAAACACCTGGGACTAAAAATGTGGCATATACACACAATGGGATTCTTTTTTTCTAACAGGCTATGTGCACACACACACACAGACACACATGCACAAAGAGATTATTTATTTAGCACCCCCTCCTTTTTAAAGTATTCTCCACGCCCAGAAAGGAGCTTAACACGGAGCCTGAACTCATGACCCCGAGATCAAGACCCAAGCCAAGATCAAGAGTCAGACATTTAACTGACTGAGCCACCAAGGCACCCCTATTTATAGCCCTTTTAAATTGACCTATACAATGGAATATTATTCAGTCCGAAAAAAGAAGGAAATTCTGACACCTGCTACAACATGGGTGGACATTGAAGACATTATGCTGGATGAGATAAGCAGGTCACAAGGGACACGTATTGTGTGAGCCCATTCGCATGAGGTACCTAGACAGGTCAAATTTAAGGAGGCAGAAAACAGAATGGTTGTTTCCAGGGGTTGGGGGGCAAGGGATTATGGAGTTATTATTTAAGGGGTACAAAGCTTCAATTTGCAAAATGAAGAGTTCTAGGGATGGATGTGGTGATGGTTGCAGAACACTGTAAACGTATTTAATGCCACTAAACCAGACATAAAAATGGTTAAGATGGTAAATTTTATATGTAGTTTATTACAATTAAAAAAAAATGACTAGGGCTGCTACATGGAAGTGAGCAGTGGTGGAGCTAGTAAAAGGCTACATTGGTCATACCCAGCACATTGTGAAAGGTTGCTAAGTTAGTATTGCTTGAATAAATGAAAGAATGAGATGGCTAACAAATGCGTGGAAGGCTGGAGTGTCTTGGCTCCCTCAAACTACCGTCCCCAAACCACTGATCAGGTTCTGGATTCAAGGCCAGGGATGTTCTTGAAATTCAGGTTGCTGTGGCTCAGGGACCCAGGTGCTCCTAGGCAGACCATAGTGCACTTGACCAAAGACTAGGGCAGAAATAGGAGAGTCCTGGAATTCTCAGGTTAGAAAGAACTGTAAAGGCAGTACAGTGTATCCTTTTATCCCAAGTTGGAGTCTCTTCCCCCACATTCCTGCCGAGCCTAATCTAACCTATGGGCATCATGAGCCCCCGCAGAACAGCTGCCACTAAATCTCTACATCATTCGCTGTGGGAAAGAAAGAATTAATGAACTCCTGTTGACCCATCCAGCACTGTCACAAGCCATCCCAGTGTTCCTACAGCCTGCTTCCTGCCCCAGAAATGGGGGCCTGGGGAAACAGCAAACTGTAAGAGTGGGGATCAGCAAGGTCGTATTCTGTTGGGACAGGAGCTGGATAGAGCGGCTCCTATGAAAGGGATACCCATTCTCAAAGTCAATTATCTAGGGAAGAGGTGGATCTTTGTAGAGACACCACGATTCAGAAGACTGGCCTGAGTTAAAGGCCTGTTGTTTTTTTTTTTTAATCAGAACACAGGCTCTAGGTCTAGACATCTGGAGGACAGTGACTGTCTAGATGTGGCTTCCAGGTGATGCATGCTAAGATGGCACCTGCTAGACAGAGGTAGGCTGAGAGTTGGATGGGGTAGGGTCTGAAAGCCTGGGAAAGCAGGTACCCAGCTATGTCAGATTAACTTCATTCAAGTACTCATGTCTATTTACCTTTAATAAAGTTCAATGTGATTGCTTGATCCTTGTGTTCCTGTGCTACTAAGAGGTAGAGAGCGGGATGTGGATTCATCTTTGGGTCAGACTATTATAGAAAAAGCATCAGGTGTTGGAGGTAACTACTGAGACCTCACAGAAGGAAGGACCATATGAGGGGTCAAGAGCTGGTGTCTGAGGCACTCTCGAATAAGAAATTCTCCCAGCAGCTCTCTTGAGGATACTGAAATTTATCATTATTAGGGAATTATCATAATAAGGACTATCATTTGTAATCAATAGAACACCCAATAATCCTTCCCAAGAGCATGGAAAGAAGTCCAGTTCAAATCCCATTTCTGGGAAGCCAATGTAATGATTCCATCTTCTACAGGAGAAGCTAACTAGGGGATCGATTCTGAGCTCAGTTCCATTTGGACTGAAGAGGGTTCTGTATATTGGTTATTATTGACCCACCTACACTTAAATTGGCAGCTGATAATAACTTTGAGATAAAAGTGGCAACAACCTGGGAAAATCAGAGAATTGGCCCTTAAAAACAGAATGAGAAGAAAAAGAAATCACAAGAAGGTAAAGGACAGGATACTGGCAAGAGTTATTTTGAAACACTGAGTGTGGCAAAGAAGCAGACTTCAGGAAAAGTTGTTGTTGAAAGTGAACATAATAATTAGGAAGTCGAGTATCTAGAAATCTCTTCTGGGCAGTGAAGTGGTTAAAGGAAAAGCTGAAGTCTATACCAACAGATAAGAGACCATGAAATGTGCCTAAACACAAGACAGTTGTTCAAACAGTAATCTAATGACCCAGTACACTTTGTTTTCCTTTTAATCCATTACAGAAGAAATAAAAATAGTCCCATGACACCAGGAAACTAAGTCCTAGGTCTAAAACTGTACTTGATGAAAGTCATCAAAGGCAATGGTTGAGGATTGTTTAACCTGGATTGTCCAAAGCCTACCAGTCCATGGCACAAATGAGACCGTGTAGCACTGATGTAAAAATGTGCACAGCAAATATCCTACCACCTGCAATATTGCCTTGAACTCACCAAGAGTTCCCGAGGGACCTCATACAAAGTCAGCACCAATCCTTTCCTGTGCTTTGAAATTGGTCTCCACTGGTATCTGCTGCCTAAAGACCAGGACTGCTATCTGGCTGCCCCAAGAGAACCTACTTCCCTGACATTCTTTTAAGGTTTCTCTGCGAACTACCAAACCTCAAGTTGCAAGAACTTCTGAAGGCCTTTCAGAGCTCTTGCATCAGACAGAGACACACAAATTTCAGCACAGAACTGGAGAAATGACCGTTAAACTTGGAAATATTCCTTCTTGGGGTGCGGTCTTCTATGGGCTGACATTGAGATGAGGAGTACTTCTGTGTTGTTCACTTAATTAAAAAGAGCTTGCATTACTTTTATAAGCAGCGAAACAACAAACACACATTTCTATTTTGAAAAAAAGAAATAGGAATATTGACTTGGGTTTCTTAAGACTGGCTGTTACTTTACCCACATTTTGAGCCTGAAGAATCTCTCCCTGGTCTCCACCTTATAGCATTTTCTATCTCAGTGAAAGTATACCAGCCAAGGAGTGGCTCAAGTTACACACTGTCAGCTTTGATACATACTTTCCTTCTATCTTCAGAACCAATCTATATTCAAGTCCTACCCAAGTCCTACCAAAATACTTCTCAAATAGCTTGCCTCTCTCCCTTCACACCATCTCTCCCCTAACCCAAGCTACTTTCATCTTGCCCAGACTACTACAACTGCCTCTTAGTCTTCACGGGTCACTCTAAGCTGTGGACCCCTAATCTGTTCTCAACCCAGGAGCCAGTATGATCCTTTTAAAGTGAAAATCTGAAGATGTCATTTTCTATCTTAGCCTCCCAGGATTTTTAGCATAAAAACCACAATCTTTCACTTGGCTTTCAAGGTTTTTTCTAGTCTAGCCTCTTACTTCTCCAGACATTTCCATCCTTACAACCACACTAGCTTTAGTTCCTCCAAATGGTCGCCCTTTCTCTCACTACAGGACTCTTATCTACACATGCACTTTGCTCTATTTGCCACCCACATCACTTCCCACGTCATCTAGTTAATTCCGACATATCTCAACAGTCACCTCTTTAGGGAAGCCATCTCCGGGCCCCAGAGGAGGTCAAATGCCCTTACTGCATTTGTTCACAGCACTGTGGAGCTTTCCTTCATAGATTTTATAAATGTTATAATTTTGTATTTATTTGTGTGTTTTGTTACTTTCATACCCATCCCTGTCACTAGGGCATAAACTCCATCTGTGCAAGAACCATGTAACCTCTGTAATTCCAGCACAAACCTAGTGCCCAGGCACATCAGAGGCATTAAATATCTATTGAATGTTAACTTCCTGAATGATAAAGTGGTTCTTTCCTAGAATGGCCCTAAAGTTAAAAATTCCAGGATATATCTGGGATCTGGTTTTCCAAATTTTAAGGAAGAAATCTCCATTCATACTACTGATATGTTGAAGGATTTTTTTGATGGCTTATCTCTTCCATCAAACCAGTGATGCTACACTGACCTCTGTGGAGGTGGCAGTGGACAGTATTAAAAGCCCAGGTGAACTTACCCCTATGGTAGACGCCATGTAGTCTGCACACATCTCTGCAAAATCTCGCTCAAGAACTCCATAGTAGAGGCCATAGAAGAGGAGAGAAATGCCAAAGTCCATGGCATCTTCTGGTTTGATCCTGTAAGGAAAGCAGCATGGCCTATAAGGCGTGCCCTAAGACACAACTGGTTTGGATTACTACTCTGGGACACACAAGGAGGCACCTAAACTTGTAAGACTTAACAGCTAAAGCAAGTGTTGGCAAAATAAGACCAAATCTTATGCCTGTTTTTTTTTTTTAAAGATTTTATTTATTCATTTGACAGAGAGATCACAAGTAGGCAGAGAGGCAGGCAGAGAGAGAGAGAGAGGGAAGCAGGCTCCCCGCCGAGCAGAGAGCCCGACGCGGGACTCAATCCCAGGACCCTGAGATCACGACCCGAGCCGAAGGCAGCGGCCCAACCCACTGAGCCACCCAGGCGCCCCTTATGCCTGTTTTTTATATGGCCTCTTGGCACTGTCTGAACAGGCTAGCACTGTGAACTACAAAGACCAAGCCAAAGTATTGCCTACACCCCTCTTTCCCACTTTGTCCCCAGTGCCTGCCTCCTCCAACTGCCCAACATGCCTTGCAGCTATCTAGGGCCCACTCTGGTTGGCACCTACGTGTTGGAGACTCCACTGCTGGCAATCACTGGACACCACCAACCAGTGGAATTTCATTCTGGAAGACGACAACTCAAGTTGCCTCACCTCCAGCCAGCTGCCCAGGTTGAAATGGCTGGGTAAAGGCACACCAAGATCTGGGTTGTCAATGGAACAGAAAGTAAAAATGATCCCAGTGGTCACACACCCACTTGTCAGGCCCCTCCTGAGAATGTCTCATCTGATGGCGAGTGGGCACAAAGTATGCCTCCCACCTGAGAGAGCCCATCCATCAAACAAGGTGGGGCAAGGGAAGAGTTTCCCCTCTTGTTATACTATATATTATCTTAGACTTCGCCTTTTGTCCACAAAGCCTAAAATAATATTTGGCCCTTCACAGAAAAAGTTTGCCAGCCACAGCTTTAGAAATGAAAGATAAAATCAGTCATTTAGCAAATATATACATACCAGTTACCATAACATTTTAAGCTGTATCTATACATATTCTGTATCATGTCATCAAAGTTAAACTTTGATCCAGGGGCATGTGGGTGGCTCAGCTGGTTGAGTGGCCAGCTCTTGATTTCGGCTCCAATCATGATCTCAGGGTCCTGGGATGGAGCCCTACATCAGGCTCCATGCTCAGCGCATAGCATGCTTAAGGAGTCTTCCCCTCTCTCCCTCTCCTTCTGCCTCTACCCCCAACCCCCTGCTTATGGTCTCTCTCTCAAATAAATAAATAGATTTTTTTAAATGGCCTGAGTGACTCAGTCGGTTAATCGTCTGCCTTTGGCTTAGGTCATGATCTCGCGGTCCTGGGATCAAGCCCCACATTGGGCTCCCTGATCAGCGGGGAGTCTGCTTCTCCCTCTCTCTCTGCCCCCCAACTCATGCTCACACTCGCTCTCAAATAAATAAATAAAATCTTTAAAAAAAACTGGGGGTCCAAGTCTACTTACTAAAAAGGACAAAGATCTTGCCTGTACATTAGGAGGCTTGTTTTAATAATTCTAAGGACCAATAAATTGCAACCTTCCGTCTTTGAATGTTTATTATAGAAAACAACCTTTGTCAAAAATTTGTACCAGGAACTGTACGTGTTTCCTTAAAGTTGTAAGTTTCATTATCTTAAAAAGTTGAGTGTATTCATCAATCTTGTAATATTTAACCCACTAGACATCATGATGTTATATCAATTAACCTGATAAGTAGCATAAAAATGGTCAATATTCTCAATTCTGTTTTCCTCCTTGTATAGCTTATGTAAGTAAAAATGAACTGTAATTACAGAATAATCATCTTTAATACAATGCAGAATCTTGAACTCACGACTCTGAGATCAAGAGTCGGACACTTAACCGACTGAGCGACTCATGCACCCTACAATGCAGAATCTTGATTTTTATTTTTTTAGCACACAGATTAGGAAGCTACCTGGAAATATCTTGGTTTTCTTTGATGGGACTTGTTAGACTCTATACTGATAAATTCCTATAAACATTTGTGGAGCCTGTTTATGGTTTCAGCCTGTACTACTCCTGGAAGAAAGAATTCCATGGGTATCCTCTCATTGTAAAAAGTAAAGACTTACTCCTTTCAGTTTCAAAGAGACTCCTGCCTCTGATAGGGTGATAGAGTTATAGGTAACTGGCTATAATCATTATTATGCTTACTTCTGCGACACTTTTCCATTAAAATACAGGTTCTTGGAAAACATAACCAATGATTTGGGACTCTATATATCGAGACATTCCTTTCTCTTTGCCAGCATAAATACTGGAGGGCCCACCTTCCATTCCCCAAAGCCCAAGTCTCCTATCCTGGGTGCCATGGCCCCCTTGTTAATATTCACAACTTGGCTCCAGAAAGAAAGATACATCTTACCAGCCCCTCCTCCCCAAACACAAACAAAAACAAAAGCAAAAGCAAAGAGTACTTACTTGAATAATAAATTGAGACCAAAGAGGGTAAACATGACAGCCATGTAGCCAACAATGCCAGTGGCATAGCTGATTTTATAGATCAACAGGAACCACTTATAAACCAACCTGGAGAAAGGAGAAAAAATTAGCATAGCTGACATGGAAACTTGCCTGGGGCCTCTGGATTACCACAATCTCTTATTCTTATATCAATGGGGACATTAGGTTATTTGCTTAGGACTTAGTAAGCAACTTCAGCTACTATTACAGATCTAGTCACTCCATTAATTGCAGAAATACCCCTGCACACCAGGGAGGAGCTAGTGCTTTCTATTTTCCTGGTCTCAGATCGAGGGAAGAAAAGAGAGCCTTAAAAGTTTTTAGCTTCAAACAAACAAAAAAGCAGAGCTGACATTAGACAGCTATGCCCTCTCAAATTCAGATTAGCTGGATAAGGAAGTGAAAACTAGTTACTATATCTATGTTCAGATGGGAACAGGTGGGAAGGCCAGTTGTTCTTGTCAGGAAAGAGAATTCAAGGGAAGATGAAAAAGAGAATCAGCTATGGGCTCCCCCTCCCCTTTTAAAAAATACTTATTTATTTAAGTAATCATTATACCCAATGTGGGGCTTGAACTCACCAACCCAAGATCAAGAGTTGCATGCTCTTCTGACTGAGCCAACCAGGCCACCCAAGCTTTTCCTACTGGGAATGGTTAACCTGAATACTTCTTTGCTCCTATCTACAGGACAATTATGAAATGGTATCTAATGAATTTGCTTCTGAAATTATTTTCTTTCTGGAGAAGAAGGGATAAGAAAGGAGGCACTCAGAAAATAGCTTTGAATGGATGTGTGTGATGGTGGTGGGGGTGAGGTGGGGTGGGGTCATATAATATTCTTGAAGGAAGAGCGATGCTCTCTATAAGTCAGTGAAAGTAGTGTGAAATCAAGAACCAATACTCTATCTGGGGTGACAGCAAATGAGGAATTCACCTGAATAAACACCTCAAGCCTATCTGGCTCTGAGACCAAGTTACTACCAAGCTTGATGGACCACAGAGAGGAAGCTTAGGTCCCTACCTAAGCAAGTGGTGAGAAGTTCTCAGGCAAGGGAAAGGCCCCATTTTGCAATGCCTGCTCTCGGAAACACAAAACTCCATTACCCAGGGTTTGCACTCATCAGACAGGAGTGAGGCAGTAGAATTTTAGGCAGAATCTGGATTAAGTGAGTTTTATTAGCTGGGTAATCCCAGGTAAAATCAAATCACTACTCTAAGACAAGTTTACTTACTTGTAAAATGAGGAAACCATGATACCTTCCTCAATGGACGAAGAGCCCATTTCCTGGTATATATAATACATGCTCAATAAATGCTACATGAATAAGAGTGGATGTTTATGAAAGTGCTTTGAAATTATAAAGCACTACAAATGTTAGTTATTATCATCAAAAACCTCCATTGTCATAGACACAATTTCAGTCACTTTACCTATAAGCTAATATTGGTTGTTAACTCTTTTTTTTCTTTTTAAAGATTTTATGTATTTGTTTGACAGAGAGAGACACAGTGAGAGAGGGAACACAAGCAGGGGGAGTGGGAGAGGGAGAAGCAGGCCTTCCATGGAGCAGGGAGCCCGATGTGGGGCTAGATTGCAGGACCCCGGGATCATGAATCGAGCCAAACGCAGATGCTTAACGACTGAGCCACCTAGGCGCCCGGGTTGTTACTGATTCTTAAAAGTATATTTTTTACACTTTTTCTTCATAGTACCCTTTATGAGGGAGCAATTATTATCACATTTCTAGGGGTAAAAAGTTCAAGGCTCAGAAAAGTGAAGCCATACAGATCAGGTAATTAACTGGCAGGGCTAGAGTTTCCAATAATCCACAAGTATCTGGCTCCAGAGGCTCTATCTTCTATCATGGCCCTTAATGTAAACTACTTCTAAATCATGGAGGAACTTCTAAATCACCGACTTCACCTTGAAGATAAATTTTACCATGTACAAGGAAGCTCAGAAGGCCAAAGTAAAACCTTACAGTGAAGCAGAAATAAAATGCATGGGGAAAAGAGCAACTTGCAACTTGGAAGCCTTAGGTTCTGGTAGTTACAACTTTGAGGCTGGCTACTTCCTCTGCTAGGCTCTCCTGGACCTGTACACACGTCTCTCACAGCACTTACCAACTGCACTGAAACAGCTGCTTTCTTGTCCATCTCCTCCATTAAACCGAGCATTCCTTGAGGGCAGGGACCATGTCTTATCCAGCTCTGTATCCCCAGCGCTCAGCACAGGGCCTGACACATAGCAGGTGCTTGTTGAATGAATGAATGAATGAGAAAATCTCTTTCTTTCTGTCAAGTACAGATCTTAAATGATCTCACAAGCTGGTTGGGAGGATCAAACTAGAAATGCATTTGGATAAAATACAAATAATACAGGCAGGGGCTGTTCTATGACCAAAGAAGTATTGTTTGTTGAAAAACTGAAAATTTGCTGAGATTCATTCATTCAACAAAAATTCAAAGAGTAGGCTACTATGTGCCAGACCCTGTGGTAGGGCCTGGATATACAGGGACAAACAAAATACATGTGGTTCCTGATCTCACAGTTACAGTTTAGTGGGGGAGACAGACAGTCAAAATCTTATGTTATGTTCTATGATGGAAAACTATAGGGCCTATGAAAGACTCTAACAGAAAATCTTATTTAGAGATCAGAGAAGGGTTCACAAAAGAAAATAACATGTAAAATGAGACCACAATGATCCTCAGAATTTGCTTACTTATTTTGGTTGCTTTTAATATAAATAGACCTTGATATAAACTCTAAGGTAAGCTATAGAGAAATGTTTTGGGGTTTTTTAATCTGTGAAGGGGGGGTAGTTCTCCCAATCAGCTTGTTTTGGTGGGGGTCCATGCTAAATAATCTTAGCAAACAGAAATTATAACTTTTTTCAGCCTAAACCCACCCGAAACCCATGCACTCCAACCCATTCGCTTCAGGAAACCTAGGTCTTCCCCACTACCTAAACTCTCACCTTGGGGTTGTCTGTACTAGTGGTTTCCGGGTGGCTCGGAAGGTGACAAAAGCCGTGACAGCAGAGAACAAGATCCAGATCACTAGGAACCGCCACCAGTGCAGCTTCACTGTGAAATAGAGGGGAACAACCCACATCTGAAAGAGGGTCACCATCTGAAACACAAACACAAGCACTTCAGTGCTAGCCAGCTCCCTCTGTGCTCCGTCCGCAAGTCCACAGGGTATGTCATGTGTTCCATTTTTTAGCCTGATCCTCTCCCAGATTTCCAATGTTGGACAGAGGCACCACCTCGTGATCTAACTTAGAAACCTAGGACCATGCCTGACACCTCCCTTTCATCCCTCACCTATCTGTTGTATATATTCTTTCCTTTCCATGTGAGCCCTTGCTATCCCTTGCCTGGCTCACTACAATAACCTCTTTGTTAAATCTCCCTGCAGTCATCATCCCCCTCTCCAATCTATCCTTCCCAAGAGCACTGGGATGGCCTCTCTAACATACAGTCTTGAATGTGTTATTTCCCTGCTTATAACCTCCTAATAGTCCCCTGCATACAGGATAACACCCAACACCCTTCAACAGGCAGTCAAATGCCCCACGATGTGCCCCAAACTATTATTTCAAGGTTGACCTTCTACTACTCCCCATGCCATTAGTTAGGGCGTTCCCCTCAGGCTAAAAGGTCCTTTCCACCTGCCTTTCTGCCTGATAATATCACATCCAAGACACATGAAACCTTCGGTCTTCTTTCCAGGCAGAAAGAGTCATAACTTTCCAATGATCCAAAAGCACTTTTTTTTCTACCATCGTTGCTTATCTAGAGCATGATTCAAATTCATTCTCTGAATGTAAGCTCCTTGAGAGCAGTAGCCAGGCCATATTCATCTGTTTCCTATGTGCTAGGAAACGGTCTAGCACACGACAGATCTTCGATTAACTCAGATACTTGAGAAGAAAGCAGAACTAGAACCCAAAAGGGAGGCGCGTTTCTGCTGTAAAGAGGTCTCAGAACTCAGACTTGTCAGCTGAAGAGTTCCAAATATATAAAATGATTCTAAGTCAGAAGTTTGGACTGATCACCAGTCCTCTCCTCCCTGATGCCTCTTAACTCCCTCCACCAACCACCTTGCTTTCACTAGATGTCACTGTGCTCAGGTGAGTAGCAGGTGTTAAAAAAAAATAAGTAATACCTAATGGGAGACTTTCTTTCTGATGTCATCAAAGGAAATGAAAGAACATTTAAAAAGGGCTGGGCATGGGGATGAGCTATAGAGAGGAAAATGGTAGCTAGTTTCCTAAAGTTCCATAGTGAAGAAAACTTGAGAAAGTATTTACTTGGGGATTTCTAGACCAGTGCTACCTAATCAAAATGTAATGGGATTCACATACGTAATTTTAAGTTTTCTAGTAGTGACATTTAAAAAAGTAAAAAGAAACGCTGGTATTAATTATTTTTAAGGATTTGATTTATTTATTTGAGAGAGAGCAAGCAAACGGGGAGGAGCAGAGGGAGAGGGAGAAGCAGACTCCATGCTGAGCACAGAGCCCAATGTGGGGCTCAGGCTCATGACCCCAAGATCATGACCTGAGCCAAAATCAAGAATCAGATGCTCAACTGACTAAGCCACCCAGGTGCCCCCAGATGATATTAATTTAAATAATATATTTTATTTTATCCAATATATCCAAAATATTATCATTCCAACATTTACTTAATATTAAAATTTATGAAATATTTTACTTTTGTTTGTACTGAGGCTTTGAAATCTGATGCGTACCTTATATTTATGGCATACCTCAAGAGAGACCAGTCACATTTCAAGTGCTCAACTGCCATATGGTAATGGTGGTTCCCATACTGGATTAGTGCAGCTTAGAGCACCTTTTTAGCATTTAGTTCTCTCCTGTAGCTTCAAACAGAATGCTCTGTGGCAAGAAAAGGCCTTAGTGTTTTAGTGTTATTTTACTAAATAACAAATAATTTACTAAATAATAAATAACACTGAGAGGAGAATGGTGAACAGATCCCACTTTGCTTTAAAGCTTACAGATTTGTGTGCTCAATGGTGCTGGCTAATGGTCAGTGAACACTGTGTCTCAGAACCTGTTCTACTGCTCAGGAACCCCCCAGGTGACTCTCCGAATGAAATATTCTAAAATATCCCGATATGAAAAGTGCTGGAGTACTGGGATGTACTAACAAATGGCTAACCAAATAACACTCCAGGTAACATTACTGGAGATAATGGGAGGAGACCAGGAAAGGACATCATAACAAACCACACATTATTTAAGCAAGAGGAAAAGGGCTCAGTTGGTAAAGTGTCCAACTCTTGATTTCGGCTCAGGTTCTGATCTTGGGGCTATGTGATCAAGGCCCATGTTCGGCTCTGTGCTCAGCAGGGGAGTCTACCTGGGATTCTCTCTCTCTCTCTCTCTCCCTCCCCCATGTACTCTCTCGATAAATAAAATTTTTAAAAATCTTTAAAAAAATACTTTAAATTAGGGAATAAGAGACAACCAGAATCATGATATTCAGAGGCAGTAAATAAACGGTGGTAAGATGTGGAAAGAAGAGCTGCAGGGTTTTTAGCCTTCACATGGTTAGCTTATAAAACAGCGGGCCCAGAGACTATAGAAGAACTAAATTACAGAGTCTGATTATATTTGTCTTCTCTGAGGGAACAAAAAAAAAAAAAAAAAGGAATTTCTGGTCTCCTTCTAGCTTTTCCAAAAGCTTGGCTGTTGCCACAAAAAAAAAAATAAATAAATAAATAAAACAATAACAACAAAAACCCCAGCCTATCCCCTACTAGCTTTTTCCCCACTCCAATCAATAGCATGTTCTAAGAAGGAATCTAGTAAAATAATTTATCTCTGCACGAGCTGTAGCTCTGCTTACTTTGGGTGCAGCGAGAGGCAAAAGACCTGGATTCTATTCCGGGTTGAATAAAGGCATAATCAGGAGTAGGCATCAGTGTAAAAGGAATGAAAAAATCTTCCCTTGCTTTGTAACTCTGAGGCCTAAAACTTTAAGGCTATAAAGCTACTCAACTCACATCATGAAAGAAAGAGAAAGACAAAAAAGGAAAGAAAAGGAAGAAGGAAGGAAGGGAAAGAGGGAGGAATTTAGGACAGGGTTACATTCTTTCAAACCAGATAGCCAATTAGAAGCCCAAAAGACCTAGATTCTAGTTCTGTGTGCTTCCAACTCACTGGGCCACTCTAAAGAGGTCCTTCCTCCTTGAGGAAAAGATTTGACTTGATTTTTCAAGCCCCTTCAAGTTCTAACATGCTAAGGTTCTATTAAGCAGCCTTGTAACTGGGAGGGCGAAGGAAGTGCTCATTCACTTGTACACTGAATATTTATTTTGCATTTAATGGAAAGAATGCAGAAATAAACATGACCCCTAGTCCCTGTCCTCAAGGAGCTAACAGTCCAGGGGTGCCTAGGTGGCTCAGTCGTTAAGCATCTGCCTTCAATTCAGGTCATGATCTCAGGGTCCTGAGATCAGAGCAGGAAGCCTGCTTCTCCCTCTCCCACTTCCCCTGCTTGTATTCCCCCTCTCACTCTCTCTCTGTCAAATAAATAAATAAAATCTTTAAAAAAAAAAAAAAAGGAGCTAACAGTCCAGCAGAAGGAGAAAAATAGAAATCAAACCTAAACCTTTAATTTTTTTTAATAAAGATTTTATTTATTTATTTGACAGAGAGAGAGATATATCACAGGTAGGCAGAGAAGCAGGCAGAAAGAGGTAGGGGTCGGGGAAGCAGGCTCCCTGCTGAGCAGAGAGCCCCATGTGGGGCTTGATCCCAGGACCCTGAGACCATGACCTGAGCCGAAGGCAGAGGCTTAATCCACTGAGCCACCCAGGTGCCCCCCAAACTTTTAATTTAATGATTCTATTAATCTTCAGATTTTAAAATTAAAAAAAAATTTTTTTTTTGTTTTTTGTGTTTGTTTGTTTGTTTTAGGTAGGCTCCAGGCCCAGCACAGAGCCTAGTATGGGGCTTGACTTCATGATGCTAAGATCAAGACCTGAGATGAGATCAAGAGTGGATGCTTAACCAACTGAGCCACCCAGGCACCCCTAAAGATTTTATTTTTTTTTTTTTAAGATTATATTTATTTATGAGAGAGAGAGAGAGAGCGAGCACAGGCAGACAGAATGGCAGGCAGAGGCAGAGGGAGAAGCAGGCTCCCTGCAGAGCAAGGAGCCCGATGTGGGACTCGATCCCAGGACGCTGGGATCATGACCTGAGCCGAAGGCAGCTGCTTAACCAACTGAGCCACCCAGGCGTCCCTAAAGATTTTATTTTTAAGTAATTTCTACACCCAATGTGGGGCTCAAACCCACAAACCAATGGAGCCAGCCAGGCACCCCTCTTTAGATGTTTTTTTAGAAGTTTAAATAGAAATCATTAAAGAATAAATAAACCAAGTAGAATGATATAGTAAAATGACTGGACATTTTAGAATTAATGAGATCTAGGTATGAATCCCAATATAACTATTTACTGTATTAGCTTAGGGAAGTCATTTAACCATGATAAGCCTGAATTTTCCCAACTGTAAAAGAGGATTAACAGCATCTACTCTCAAAAGATTGTATAGATTAAGTGAATTAATGCATGGAAAGCTCTCAGAACAATGCCTAACAATGTAAGCATTTAATATAATGTAATAAATATAATGCAAATAGTCAATATAATAGCTCTTTTATATAAAAAAAAAAGCAGAGTGCATAATTCACAGTAAGCATTCAGTAAATGAGAGCTCTTATTAGGTCCTCACATGATCAAAACTGCATAAAGTCAAATGTAATAAGGGAGCAAAGACTGCAAAAAGGCAAACAAAATAATCAACATATTGAAAGTGGCGGGGTTATAATGAGATAGAGATAAAGAAAAATACAAAAGATCAATGAAACCAAAAGTTGACTGCTTAAAAAGATTTAAAAAACAATAAACCTTTAGCCAGACACATGAGAAAAAGAAGACTTAAAATTAGAAACAAAAAAAGAAGTTAACAACCAATACCACAGAAATACAAAGAACTATAAGAAATTACTACAAAAAATTATATACCAAAAAATTGGACAACCTAGAACAATTAGATAAATTCCTAGAAACATAAAATCTTTCAAAACTG